CCCAGGTTCAAATCCCAGCACCCACGGCACCTAACAACTGCCTGTAACTCCAGTCCCAGGGGATCTGACAGCCTCTTCTGACCTCCGCCGGTATTGCATGACACGGGTGCACTTACCTACATGCAGGCAATACACACATACACATAAAAATAATAAATAAAATAATGAATAATAATAAAATGATAAATAAACCTCAGAAGAGTTGAGGGTGCTGGATAGAGCAAATGCTGGAATCCAAACTGAGCCCAGGACTGAGTTAGAGGGATCCCCCTTTGCAGAGCTAGGCATGTCATATCTCAACTCCCAGCCCAAATCCCTTTCTCTATAAAAGAAAAACTAGCACACTGACCTGAGCAGCCAAGTCACATGAACATCACACCTGACTTAAAGGACGTTCGGCTCAAAACTCACCCTGTGGAAAGTGACCCACTAGAGAGGAGGAAGAAAAAGGTTTCTTGGTCAAATTTGTGTAGAGACCCCAAAGTGAAATGGGAAAATACTTCTAAGATTTCTGGGAAGTTTGTTTTGTAGTCAGTCATGAAGACCTCTGTACAAATTGTGAAAAAGTCGAGGTTAAGTATAAAGAATGACTGTGTCAGTCTCCTTCTAACTAGTAAGAAACTTACCTAATATGTAGAACATTCAAGCCCTTCCAAAATCTGTGCAATCCACTTCAGGCTTGAATTCCAGGATCTTGTGGTCTACATCTATTCTAGATGTGACTGTGACAAGCTAAAGACATTTTCCTGAAGACTTACAGCCAGTTAAAGGTTGTTGCCAGGAGGAGATCATCAGGCCCGGCCCCTCCATACAGACAGTTAAAGATTGATGGGGGAGGGAGAGACTTTTCCCTCTGTGGTGTAGCTACTGGTAAGGTGCCCATACTCCTGTAAATAGTCCCTTGCCCATGCTCCTGTGAGCATCCTGTAAACTCCTGAAATCCTAATGAAACTCCTTGGGTCATCAAAAAAGACACCGAAGTAGAAGGGGGCCTAGTTGGAAAAAGGAAGGGGATTAACCAAAATAGGGGGACAAGAGAGAGAAATGGGGGTGAACATAGTAAAAATACACTAAAAACATGAAACTGCTTATAAACCTGAGGCTCAGTGGTCAAGAGCACTGGCCGCTCTTGGAGAGGACCCAGGTTCTGTGCCCACTACCCACATGGCAGCTAACGACCGTCTGTAATTCCAGTTCCAGGGGATCCAATGCCCTCTTCACACATTGTGCACTTAACATGCATGCAGGTAGAACACCCACACGCATAAAATTAAAATTATTAATAAAAGTGCCAGCTATGGTAGCACATGCCTTTTATGCCAGCACTCAGGAGGCAGAGGCAGGCAGATCGCTGAGATTGAGGCCAGCCTGATTGACAAAGCAAGTTCCAGGCTAGCTGTGGCTATAGTGAGACCCTGTCTCCAAAAACAAAACAATAAAACAAATTAACTAAATAATAATAAATAAAAATATTTTAAAATACATTATAAACACGAAAATGTCATAATGAAATCCCTTGTATATAATTAATAAAAACTGAAAAATAAGAAAAATATTTTAGGACTCCACATCCCACACATACAACAATCAACATACAGTAGGGGAACAGGGCTAAGCAACTAGTTCATGTTGGGTCTAAAGAGGGCAAAACATTTTGCTGGTGCTCCTGCTGTACAAGCTGAATGTTCCTTCAGTAGCTCCCAGTGTACTGTGCTCTGCAGCTCTGGCTAACGCCACTAGTGTGGTTTTTTTCACTGGCCTTTCAAGTTCTGATGAGGGCATTGGGAAAGGTGCCCCTGGGCAGGAGAGAGAATTTCAGTCTCTTTATGTCTGTAAGTTTGGGGACTTGGGGACTAAGGAGAAAGCTTATGGGTAAAGCACTCACCTCACAAGTGTGAGGTCCTGAGTTCAAATCCCCAGAACCCACATAAAAGCACCCGCATCTGTATTCTTAGTGCACCTATGGGGAAATGGGATGTGAAAAGAGAAGAATCTCTGGAAGCTTATGGGCCAGCTAGTATAGCATACAAAGCAGAAAAGTAGCTTAAAAACTTTCCACCTCTTTTAGAAAAAGTATTATTTTTATTTCATGTGTATGAGTGTATTGCCTGCATGACTGTAAATGCACCCACATTGTGCAGTGCCCACAGGGGTCAGAAGAGGGCATTGGATTTCACTGGAACTGGAGTTATGGACAGTTGTTAGCTGCCTGTGGGTGCTGGGAATTGAACCTGGGTCCTCTGCAAGAGCAGCTAGTGCTCTTAATCACTGAGTCAACTCTCCAGTTCCAACTTTGGTTTTTTTGGTTTTGGTTTGGGGTTTTTTTTTTTTAAATAGTTTCTCCATAATCCCAGCCCACCTGGAAGTCACTAGGTGGGCCAGGCTAGCCTCCATCT